TCCCCAAATTTAGTGATCCAACTAGCATCTGAATATCATTCAATAACCGAAGGAAACCCTACATAAGTTTAACCAAAGTCCATGGTTTTCTTAAGATACTTCAGCACCCTTTGAACATCCCAAGTTCAGAAGCAAGAGTTCAGGGATGTAAAGTGTACATTGAGGGAGCTACTCGACGAGTAGGTGCGGTTACTCATCGAGTCGGCCCACACCGAGCCTTCAGTCGGTCTGGTCCACTCTCCGAGGTTACAGTATGACTGGTCCGCCTACACAACTTGAAACCATGTGACAAGAAAACATCATCAAATTTTAGATGTTATTGTTTTGGTGATTGTTGTAGCACATATAATGATTTAACCAACTTACGCACCTTATGCTCATTTCTAATCATAATAAAACCCTCAGGTTGTTTCATGTACGCATCTTCCTCTAAATCACCATTTAACAAATGTTGTTTTAACATCCATTTAATGAATCACCAAATTATAAATTGCTGCTAAGGCAATCAATAGTCTAATAGTAGATATATGAGCAACTAAAGCATAAGTGTCAAAATAGTCAAAGTTAGGTTTTTGTTTAAAACCTTGAATAACTAATCGAGCCTTAAACTTGTCTACTGGTCCATCAACTTTCATCTTCCTTTTGAATATCCACTTGTAACCCAAATGTTTGCATCCAAGCGGAAGATCGGATAACACCCAACTATTATTCCCCATGATAGAATCCATCTCATCATTTATTACCTCTTTCCAGAAAACAACAATCTTGAGATTTTATTGATTCATCAAATGTTTTAAGATCCTCTTCAACCCTAAAAATATATGAATACTGATTTACAATTTCATCTAGAACCCTTAACTAGGTAAAGCTGAAAATCATTACCAAATGATTTAGCTTTCCTTTGTCTCTTGTTTCTTCTAATCTCAAATGATTCATTTGATTCATGTACAACTTCATTGGTAGTCCCACTAGAACAAGAAACCAAGTCCTTTGGTTTAGGTATGGATGAAAATCGATTTTCATCAAATATTGCATCTCTATATTCTATAACAGTGTTAAATAAAACATAAGCATTAGGTTCTATAACATAAAACCTATAAGCCTTGGAATGCTCAGCATATCCAGTAAAGATACAATCAATAACTCTTTCACCCAAAGTTTTCATTTTTGGTTCAGTTAGCCTCACAACAGCCCAATAACCCTAAACTTTAAGATATCCTAAGTTTGGTTTCTTTTTGTACAAAGTTCATGGGGATTATCTTGTTCCTTTTGTTTGGAACTCTATTTAAAAGATAACATGCAGTTAGCATAGCTTCTCCCCAGAAACCATCACTTCAATCTGAGTGAGACAACACAGAGTTCACCATTTCCTTTATAACTCTATTTTTCCTTTTAGATATCCCATTTTGTTGAGGGGTATATGGAGTATTTATTTCATGTATAATACCAACATATTGGAAATAACTAGGATCATAATACTTTCCACCACGATTAGTGCGAAGTCTTTTGATTAAATCATTTTGTTGCAATTGAACTTCATTTTTATAAAATTTGAATTTACCAAGGGCTTCATCCTTGGAATTTAACAAGTATGCATAGCAAAAACAAGAATAATCATATATAAAATAAACTATGTATTTCTTATGTCCTAAGGATGGAGGTGAATGCAAATCACATAGAACATTATGAATTAATTCAAGTATAATATAATTCCTATTAACATTAGGAAAAGGTTGTCTAGTTAGTTTTGTTAACTTACAAGTTGTACATTTTTCTATGTTAACATCAAAAGATGGTATTAATCCATTTTTAGACATTTCAAGCATTCTTTTACAATATACATGTCCTAAATGAGCATGTCATAATGAAGAATTATCAATACTAGAACAAGCCATGTATATAAAATCTGTAATTTTATTTTTCTTTACATTCAACCTAAACATATTGTTACAATAATATACAAACCCAACGAATGTACCACACTTAGATAATATATAGTCATCAAATTCATAGAATTTTGTATATCCATATATATTAATTACACCACCAGAAACTAAGACATAACCAACTCATGACATCATCATGATATCACTAAAGGTTTTGGCAGGAAAATACATGGCAAGAGTCATACTCGACATAGAAATCCGTTTAGGTTTCGAGGCTCTGCCCCTTGGACCTCGCTAAGGGTATTGCCCCTAAACCCAACCAAGGGGCTACAACCCCTTAGAATCCTGGACCCAGGGGCGCTGCCAATGGACACCCATATATTCCCGAATTCACAATTATCACACCGAGTGTGCACCCATACCTCCAAGCTCGGTTAGTAAATGAAGCTCAGCTTATCTTAGTATTAAATAATAATTACATCAAAATATGTTGATAACAGTAAAATCACCAACACAATCCTCTTCAAATTGGATAGTGAAAATCACAAACACCCAAATTGATACGTAAGAATTTGAAACATTCAACTCCAAGTGCTTTAGTGAATATATTTTGGCAGAACACATTCTAGAATTAAATGGACAGAAACCAAATCCTAAAACATAACATATAAACATCTTTGATTTAAGGGTATGTCATATCAATGTCGATGGGAATATTCTACATGATTTCGAGAAATCGATATGGCATTAACGAAACGCTTTTTTATAAAATTATATTACCATGTTTTAGTATTTATAGAAATAGGAGCATAAGAGCAAGTGCGACTCAACCAATTTGGGGACTCTAAGCGAACCAAAATTTTGGGGCATTTGAGTTCTTGGCAGTTATTGATAGCCTTGACCTTCAAAAAAACTCAAATTCGTTTCACCATTGCAACTTCTAACAAAAATCGTTCCAAAACCCAAAATCCAACTTGACACAATGAATATTAAAAAAAATTAAGCCCTATTAACCTTAAGAATTAGTATAATCAAGAAAGAAGAATCAGTCTACATCAAAGTTCAAAAAATAGATTTGTTCCTTCTTTTCTACATCAAATAGATTTTCTTTTCTACATCAAATAGATTTCTACATGAAAATTAATAGATTTAACTTCATCAAAGTAAAACAATTTAGCATAATATATATCTAAATTCTAAAACAACACGTCACTAAAAAATTGCAGAAAATATGTACTTGCGCCGCCCTAAAATCAGAAAATTCAATCTTACAACTAACAACAATGAATCATACAAAACTTTAAAACATACTTACAAACACAAAACGAATCTAATTGTGACACAGCCAATAGGAAAAATGCTTATATACAAAGTACAAACAGTTAAACTCAAACACAAACAGGATTACAGGAAGAATCATGAATTCGCTAAGGAAAGAGACAAATAGTAAGAGATTATCAACCTTTCAGAAAGAAGAATCAACAATCGAACTAACCTCTTTTATTGATTTTTGAATAAGAATTGGTCAGATCAGAGCCAAGAAGAAGAAGATTAGAATCGAGAATCAAATTCAAACTGGTAGATGGTAGTGGTAATCCATTATGCGGTTACGAGGATAGAGGAGAATGAAGAATGAACTCAGAGGACACAGATTCACAGAAAGAAGAATAGTCGCCGAGAATTACTTCTGCTTATTGCGTTAATAGAGAATCCAAATCATTAATCCCTAATTGAAATATGGGTTAAATGGGCCCTAAGCAAGGGACATAAGAGTAAAAAATATTTTTTACATGGCATAAGGAATAAATACACATCAGAAAGTATATATGATTAAAAAAGTTGAGTGTGGTTTGTTTTTTTTTTTAATATAAAAAGTTACTAGGCCCACTTCTTAAATGAAATAAAAAATAATTTTCTAGCTTTAGAAAATGTTGGGAAAATAATTTTCTAGCTTTAGAAAATGTTGGGCTAAGCATTTGTCTAATTGCTTTCAGATTTTAAATATTCTTTACGAGTTATGCTATATTTACAAGGCAAAATAAAAAAATAAATAGAAGGGTCATGCCCCCTTTAGCTCTCATTGAGTTTTCCATAACATTAGAGAGAGTGATCATCGACACATGGTAAGGCATGTTAAAGTATGTCCCATAATCATAGCATAATGCAAAGAGTAAGAGTGATAGTGTATTATTTGATTTTGAAAAAATAAATAAACAACCAATCAAACCTCTCCTTTTTCCTTCTCTTCTCTTTCGACACTCTATCTCTCTCCTCTCTCCTCTCGCTAACCTACACCGGTGCATCCCCTTAGCACATGCTAGGGGGTGGGTTTTGCTCATGCTAAGGCTATCCTGAGTGGGTTCACATCCACGCGTAAGATTCATATGTAGCACACCAACTCACCGCTGTGTTAGTTGTAAAATGGGTTGTAGGGGTTGTGAAGACGGAAGAAGACAGACACTTTCATTGGTTCTTTAATTTCCCCCACATTTTCTCTCATTTTTGCCTATTCACCATGTTGGTAAACAACATTTCCACAACATGGTGGATTGGTTGTGGAATGATACGTGGTGCTGAGTTGACTGGTGGTTTGGCTATGCCCACTCTCCACAACCTAAGACCTTGGCAAATGGGCGCCAAGCCGCCAATCCCCATATGCTAAATTTTGGTTAATATTCGGGACTAATGACTTGAGGGTTTATTTCTTCACCGGAGAGTTGTGGCGCAACAGCAACATCAGATAATAAAGAATTGTATCTCGAGAATTGTGTTTACCAATCCTTAATCCTTAATATAAAGAATTGTATCATTCCTTAATCCCAACATAAAGAATTGTATCTCGAGAAGGATCTTCCTTTGGTAAATAAAATGTTAATATATTTTATAAGCTTCACAATGAAGCACATATGTCGTAGTTCACCAAGTCGATCCATTTAGTTTATAAACATTGGTGGTATGGTATCATTCGAATTAGGGAATATGTATGTTGTGCAATATGTATGTTGTGCAATGTTAATATATTTTATAAGCTTCAAAGACATGATGTTTAATCATTAAAATCCATTGCCATAAGGCAACAATACAAAGATACTGCAATGTTGAGAGTTCAAGTAATAGAGATGTTATTATATGAGGATTGCAGACGCCGATTTTCGTTTAGACGATATGATTAAAAATTATTTAGCCGATATGATAAAAATTCATGTACTTTTAATGGATTTTTTAATGTGTTACATCCGTATTTTTATGCATCCTTTTCATCTTTGTACAGAATGATTACAAACAAAAAGATGAGAAAAACTTAAATGTACCGATTGTGGTGTAGCTTATATTCGGCTTATATCACGACCAAACACAAAGGTCGTTAGCCAGTTTATTGCCACATAAAATCTATTCCTCCAGCTCACCACACGTGTCAGATAAGCCGAACGCCATATGAACCAACTAGCAAATCCCGCAATCGACAACCCTTTCGCTTCCTAAAATAAAGATTTCAGCACATGTTACTGTGACTGTGTCTGTGACTGGAAACTTCTGGTCTTGCCACATAACTTTTTACTATGATTGTGTCTGTGACTGCAAACTTTTGGGTGTTGCCACATAATTGTTTGTTACTATGACTATGACTGGGTCTTGTGACCGTGTCTGTGCTGCAAACTTTTGGTCTTGCCACCCAAAAAGGTTTAATGGACACTCGTTCTTGATCCTTGTCAGTTTATTCAGTTTCGTCCAGTCCAGTCATATTCTATGTAACAAATGCATCAAAGAAAAAAAATACTAGTGTTACCTTGCTTTGCCTGAGATCTACAAGAGCCTTATAACTTCCAACGGTAGCCATGCTTCCCAAATGCTTATAAACAAACGGAGCTCCAAGTTCTATATCGCCAGTGCCATTAGCATATCCGCCACCCGCTTTACCGATCTTGTTTAGAAGTTCCGCTAGGTACTTTCCCTCCCTCTCCGCCACCTAAATTACACGCATACCGATAGCAAACTTTTAAAAAAAAAAAAAAGACTTAATCCACAAATGGATGTTTCTTTTTCACTTGGTTAAAAAACGACCGAATAGAGAAAGTCAGGGAAATATAACTTTTTAAAAGTATTTTTCAGACATTATTTATCCAGACAACACTTAATAAAAAAAAAAAAAAATTTACTTGGGCTAAAGCCGGAAGAGTCGGTTTGCCGGTACTCTCGAGGTACCCACTACAATCCCCAATCGCATATACATCGGGCATAGATGGTACTCTTAACCAATCATCAATCCCAATTCTATAAAATGTAACAAAAAATATATATTAATAAGACAAAAAAAATTCATCCGAAATCTAAACAAACATTTATTACCTTCCACCCGGAGCCTTAGGAAGATCCATTTTTTGAACAAAAGACGAGGGACCAACACCCGTGGACCACACCAACAAACCATACGGAACATCAGTTCCATCACTCAAAACTATCTTCTTGGGTTGAACATCCTTCACTGTTCCACGAACTAGCCGAACTCCCGACTATAACATTTTGATACGCTTTAAATGCAAGAAATAGCAATGTACTTCCATTTATTTGTTTATTATTATTATAAAAGTATTAGAGTTTTTGTTTCTTTTACCTTGGTCAATTGTTTAGTAGCATATACCCGAAGGCGATCATCAAATGAAGATAAAATATCATTCGCCTGCAAAATCTCATAAAATTGTTCAAGATTCGTTCCTAATTTTACATAGAGAAAGAATGTTGAAACGAGTAAGCCTCACCTCGATCAAAGTAACGTTAATGTAATCTTTGACATGAGAATATCTTTGATGAACGTCTTTCATGATGAAATCACTGAGTTCACCACTGAATTCGACTCCAGTAGGACCACCTCCTACAACAACACAATGCAGGAGTCTTCGCTTTTCTTCATCGGAAACACCTGTGAGTAAACCATAGTCCCTTCATATTTGAAAAAAAACCACAAAATTAAATATGAATGTGAGAATTTGTGGAAGATAAATACCAGGAACATCGGAGATCATCAAGTTGAGAAGCAGCTTTCTGCGGATTTCTTGAGCATGGTGTACCTCGCGAAGGAAAATGGCATGTTCTTTGACGCCATTGATTCCAAAAGTTGAAGCTTCGGCTCCAGAAGCTATGATTAATTTGTCGTACGAAATCTTGAAATCCCATGGTTCGAGAGTTCGTAATCCGTCTGTTATAGTTTGGCAATGCACCTGTAGCATCACATTATCAAAATTGTATAATCAGTTGGATAAAAACCTGATGATTGTGTTTCGATAGCAAAGTCGAAAAGCAATTCGATGCATAATTTACTCCAATGTGAAGATTATTTTGAAGAATCCCAGATCGAGAAAATGGTTTTCGGCATATTTGAATTGGTCAAAGATTCCAACTTTTTCAACATTCAAGAATCTTGAATTGAAAACATGAAAACATACCTCGTGATTCTTGGAATCAAGTCCTTTGCAATTAGCTAGGAAGAAATACGAACCGGGTTCGGTAGAAATCGCCGGTTGAATCCTGCCGATCGGCTCAGCAACAGACCGGAACTCGAGAGTGCCGACACAGGTAGAAGCTAATAAAGGAGTAAAAACCATATGGTTCCTAGGGGAAACGCAGACGACGTCGTATATGCTGGTGTCGATCCCTTTCATCAGCCTACACCCAGCCCAACCGGAACCCAGAACCACCACTCTTGGCTTTTCAGTTTTCTTGGTGGGCCCAAGCCCAGATACCGGAGGAGCAACCGCATCGCCGGCGGTGGAGAAGTGGTGGAGGTGTTGCAGAGAGAATAGAGTGGGTGTGAATTTGGCGGTTGAATGGTGTTTGACCGGAGAGGACAATCGTATTAGGTTCTTGAACCAATACATCACTGGAGACTGGAGTTATCGTTTTTTTTTTCCGATGATTGAAGGGTTGAAAATACTGAATCCTGGTGATTGTGAAGTGAAGTATTGTTAGCCAAAGGTGGGACAAAAGGGATAAAGGAAGAATTATGGCCAAGCAGGTGGCAAGATTTACAGATGGCAGCGGAGGTTGAAAGCGCCGACGCCCGGAGAACGACGTATTTGGCAACACGTGGGAGCGACTCGGTTGAACTGTGACTGAATTTCTAATCGAAAATTCAATGGTAAAATTTAATATAAAAAGGAAAAGGAAAATACTTTGTTTGGGCAAAACGAAACAAGTTTGAATATTATTTTTTAGGAATTCTATAATCGAATCAAAAGACATCACAAATAGCCAATTCGCCTTTGATTTCTTGTGTTATATTTTGACTAATGTTAGAGATAGATTCTAACAATAGTTTGGATTTTAATTTATAAATTCATCACGTTTGCATATGTGATGTTTGAGTTTTATGAATTTTGTTTTATATAATTAATGAAGAGAATAAAGGTTGAAGATGAAAAGTGTTTCATCTTTAATCTGGTCACTTGGTCACCACATGTTATGCACCTTATATTTTTTTTGGACTCGAAGTCTTTTGGATTAATATTGTACTCCTATTAACTGTTAAGAATATATTCACGAAGATCCTCTCAAAAAATAGATTTATCTGTTTCCTAATTACAAAGACAAAGTATGCAATTTTTTTTAGTTTTTCTTAGAGGGGATGTACCAACAAGAAAAATGTCCTAAAAAAACGTTTTCACCAGCATTTCTCTGGTGGATCGTACCTCTACATCATTGTTCCTCAAATTGATTACAAAAAAATAAATAAATAAATCAATATTCTTCAAATCGATTACAAATATTGACACACGGGTTTCTTGGGTTTCATTGTCGCCAACAAGAATGCATATGGTCTTCGCCGCTGCCAATAAAGGAATCATTGACTTCTTCCCTTCGGTTATGAATATAAAGATGAATAAAATGTAAATTTGTTCCCTTTAATCTCCGTGGTTATAAAAAAAATAATAAAGTTCAAAATTTTTTCAAAATCGTTCAAAATCGAATTTTTTTATGGTTTTGGTTCCTACACAAATTGAAATGACTTTTTTACCCTTTTACTTTTATTTTTGAATTTCTTTACTATTTTTTTTTTACCATTTGAAATAAATAAATAAAATGGCCCATCCACACCACCTGTAAAAAATATTCTACCCACTCGTAACCCCGGTCTCTTTTTTAAATTCTTCATCTCTTTGACTCTCTCTCCCTCTTCTCCTTCCAACCATTACTATTGTTGTCATCATCCCTTTGTTCTCTCTATGTTAAGCACATTAACATGTAAAACTTACATATGTTCATTATATTCTTCACAACCACTGATTGAATATCAAAACACAAAAAACTCTTCACATGTAGATACGCCTACTTGTAACTCAATATATATATATATATATATATATATATATATATATATATATATATATATATATATATATATATATATATATATAGAGAGAGAGAGAGAGAGAGAGGAATGAGTTCTATGGAAAACAAATAACTAGGGCAATATCTACCGGAACCAATAATCAAATGACACGTGTTCATTTCTTTCTTCACAAGTAATGTATTGTGGAAGTTATTGTGGAAGTGATGTGTTATCATTTTTTCATTGGTTCAAATATGTGTTGCCCTAATCATTCATTTTCCATATATATATCAGATCTACAAAATCCCTTTTACAACACATTTAATATGATCGATGACTAGACCAAAATATCATGGAGTGGTGGGAGGTTAATCTAAACCATCCATGCTAGAAACCAACACATAACATTTTTTGGAGCTATCTATCCTCTTCGGAAAATGGTAAAATCCGACCTCTGAGATATGAAGCACAAAAAAAACTATGAGATGTATCAAAACAGTGGGGCAGAAGTAAACAAACTGATTCCCATCCCCCAACTCGTTCCTGTCTCTGCCTCCTCCACTCTCACGTTCTTGATTACCCAAACACCAACGACCAACTAAAGAGCATTGGTTCCTCAAGAATCCCAAAATTGAAGATGTCACACCAAACCTAATCAAGTAAAAATGATATTTCTTTCAATGGAGATAATAGTTAAAGCAATCCCCACTTCTGATGAACTTAATCAAGAAACCCAAAATAGAAAATTTAGGTTCTTTGTTAACAGCTTCTCAACCATTTGAACTGATCAAGTAGAAACAATCTTCGTTTTCGGCCTCTACATACCTACTAGTTGCGGGCTCTAGTCAATTGCCATTTGATCCATATTCTTTTCGATCGATTGCCTCTATTATATGCTCCATGGAAAACACCACCAGCTCCTCCCTCATTTGCATCATGTACATCCCTTGGGGACAACGAAATGGGTCGTTGCTGGAAGCTCGGCTTTTCTTGTTGGTTCTGATTTTAGTGTGTTTTGGTTTCTAATTAGGTGAAGAAGTGGTGAAGTAAATGTAACACCGAAAATTTCAAACAAATTTTTCAATTTTTATAAAACATAATTCCATCGATATTCATAAAATCAACCATTTTAATTATCCAACAAAACAGTACAAAATCCCAAGATCATAATATCAAGCTCCGAACGTGTGTGTATACGGATCAAGCCGGCGCCTTCCCGCGGTCGTCACTAGTACCTGAAACAAATAACATCAACACTGTAAGCACAAGGCTTAGTGAGTTCCCCAAAATACCACATATAACACATATTAGCCACTCTAGGCTATAACTCTGTGGGTCCGTGCACCCAAACTCTGTGAACCCTCAGGTTCTAGCTCTGATAAACATGCACCACATAAATCACATAGAAATCATGCAGTACAACACACAACATACATAGCATACAAATACTCTATCACATAACTCTGGTTACCTACTCAAGGTAAAGTATAGTGAGAAGACTCACCTCGCGTATCTCGGTATCTCACGAATCCTGGAAATCCCTCGTGCTCGATCCTCCGAGCTCTAATCCTCCTATAACATTATATGCTTCTAATTAACACTTTATATCTCTAAGGTTGACTATCAATAAGGAGTCAACACTGGTCAACTCTGGTCAACGGTCAACGGTCAACTCTGACCGGACTCGGCGAGTACCAAGGCGACTCGGCGAGTCTGGGCGTATACACCAATTTCCCTGGAATCCTCCCTTGACACGTCGAGCATTCACTCAACTCGACGAGTTCCACCTGGCATGAGTTGTGGGGCCACCACGACTCAACTCGCCGAGTCTCAAAACAACTCGGCGAGTCCAGTTTGACTCAATCCACCGGTCCATTCTGACTCCCCCTTGACTCACTGAGTCCACCCTCCCCAACTCGGCGAGGCCACTCACTGTGTGGTCGGGCAACATTCATGCTACTCGCCGAGTCTGTTCTTCGGACTCGGCGAGTCCGTGCCATGCACTGACTCAATCTTGCTCTAAAGGTCAGATCCAGTCCATTAATCCATAGATCCAGTCCCTCCAAGCTCATTTAGCACGTAAAGTTACAATCTTGATGCACATACAACCTCTATATGACCATATATGATGTTTTTGACTCATTTACTACAACACAAGGTCATGGACTCCATTGTCATACATAAAGCTTGATGAGTGAGGCTCTCTGGACCTCTATGGGTCCAGATCCATAACCTCAACTCAAGGAGGGAACCAATGGGCACCAAATCATCCCATAAATGACCATCATAAGCCCTAAATTGCATAATGCTTCACCAAACAGAAAATAGTCCGAGATCATACCTCTAGAGTGATGATCTAAGCCCAAATCCACGAAATAGCAACCTCCTTTGCTTCCTCTTGCCTAGAGTCTCCTTCTTCTTGCTAAATAACACACACAAGGTCAAGAAATGCTCCTTTCTCTTCACAAATCGCTCAAGAACACAAGGGTCTCTCACTGAGGGTTGGGTGAGCACAAATGACGGCCATAAGGCCCTTTAAATAGGCCTCAAACCCGGAAATTTAGGGTTTCATTACACAGCGCAGACTCGCCGAGTCCATATCCTGGACTCGCCGAGTCCAGGCGCGCTCCATTGTCCAAATCCGCGTCCCTACTCGGCGAGTCTGAGCTCCAACTCGCCGAGTCCCCCTCACATTACCACAAAATTAAATTTACAAGATACCTGGTAAAAATCCGGATGTTACAACTCTCCCCCACTAGAACTAGACTTCGCCCTCGAAGTCTCGCTCTAAAACAGCTCCGGATGCTGCTCCCGCATCATACCCTCCGGCTCCCAGGTCATTTCTGATCCCCTCCGATGTTGCCACTGAACCAATACCAGAGGTACCTCCTTGTTCCTCAAAATCTTGATCTTCCGATCCCTAATAGCCACTGGTCTCTCAGCATAATTCAGGCTTGCATCCACCTGAATATCCTCTAATGGAACCACTGCCGACTCATCGGCTATACATTTCCTCAACTGCGATACATGAAAAGTGTTGTGAATCTGCCCCAACTCTGCTGGTAACTCCAGCCGATAGGCTACCCGGCCTACCCTTGCAATCACACGAAACGGACCTATAAACCGGGGCCCCAATTTGCCCCTCTTCCTGAACCGGATCACTCCTTTCCAAGGAGAAACCTTCAGGAGAACGAAGTCGCCGACCTGAAATTCCAGCTCGGACCGGCGCTATCCGCATAACTCTTTTGTCGGCTCTGAGCGGTCAATAACCTCTGTCTGACCAGCTGTATCTGCTCTGTCGTCTGATTCACGATCTCTGTACTACCCATTACCCTTTGCCCAACCTCTCCCCAACATATGGGAGTCCGACACCTCCTACCATACAACAGCTCAAAGGGCGGCATACCGATGCTCGAATGATGGCTGTTATTGTAGGAAAACTCTGCCAAGGGCAAATACGTGTCCCAACTACCCCAAAGTCCAATACACATGCTCGAAGCATGTCCTCAAGTGTCTGAATCGTCCGCTCACTCTGGCCGTCGGTCTGGGGGTGGTATGCGGTACTAAAATGCAGCTTAGTACCCAACTCCTCATGAAATTTCTTCCAGAAACGGGAAGTGAAACGCACATCGCGGTCTGAAACAATCGAGATCGGCACCCCATGCCGAGATACAACCTCTCTCACATAAATCTCCGCCAACTTCTCCGCCGAAGAACTCTCACTGATGGCAAGAAAGTGAGCGCTCTTTGTCAACCTATCCACAATCACCCAAATTGCATCGACTCCTCTGGCAGTCCTCGGCAATTTGGTGATGAAATCCATAGTGATCTGTTCCCACTTCCACTCGGGAACCTCCAATGGCTGCAACTTGCCATGCGGTCTCTGGTGTTCGGCCTTTA